CCCAGCCAGCTCAGAAAATTGGTTAAGTCTCGACTCACGGACAGACCCACGGTCCGTAGATCAGACCACGGTCCGTGGTCTGTGTCTGTGGATCAAGACCTCCTTTACCCAGCCTCTGACATGAACTACGGTTGACCAGCACGGACCGTCATTCGATCCACGGTCCGTAGGTCTGACCGTAGATCGAAGGATAGTAGCCAGTTAGCTGAAAATTCTGATGGGTCAACTTCAGATGGTTATAACTTTTAGCACAAAATGAATTATGTGTCTCATGACCTATGGTTAGATAGATACTTGAATTATCTTTCTAACGCCACCGAGTTTGCTAAATTCCGACCTCCGAGTAAAAAGTTATGCCCGTTTTAGTGAAGCCCTGTCGGGCAGACTCGATCTACGGACCTAATCGACGGACCGTCGATTGATTGACGGACCGTAGGTCCATTCCGTCAGTCACTCCGACAACAGTTAATTTAGGGGTTTTTTGGTCTTTTCCTATTTCGTTTAACCCCTAAGATACGTCGTTTAGACCCTAAATCATGAGGTTTTAATTAGTTTAAACCTAGAAACATAACTAGAACTTACCTAAGTCAAATTCATTAATCAAAACTTAGAAAATTAGAAGCAAGAAGGGAGAAAAAGGCCAAGAACCCTAGTTCAAGAACGCAGCAAGGTTCCATCAGTTCCAGCCCCGAAATCGAAAGATTTCTCCGTGGAATTCGTCACCAGGTATGTGGGATTTCACTAGTGGGTTCCTTTCGCCTATTAGGTCCCTAGAATTCAGTCAAATTCTTGATTCCATGATTATGAACAGACCTAGGGTTTCTAGAATTTCAACAGATCATCATGAATTAATTATTGTAATGTTCCAAATCAGATTATCATGTTATTGCTCAGTTTATCGCATGAATTTCAGAACCCTAGCTATGTATTTCTTTAGTTCTTGAATTACACATGCTAGGTCAGATATTTCAATATTCAGTTATACATGCCTCAGTTTATGAATGCATCATTATCAGATTAATTGTTGCATTCTCAGTTTGCATGTTCAGTTCGAGCTATCCAGTATTTACAGAAATTCAGTCATAACCAGTTAACTACTTAATTCATTGGGGGTAGCATAATATCGAGTTGGACTAGGGTTTCAGCGTACCCATATAGTCCCAGAACTACGAGCCACGTAGGTGTAAGTCCCCTCTGTGGGCAACATCAGTTTAGTGATCACGCCAACATGCCTTTATACCTCTGGCAGGGTATATTGGGTCCTCTCGATGGGGCGTATACATCAGACTCCACATTTAGCTCATGTGGTTTTATGTCGGTTATTAGTAGCTCCCACAGTTCAGTCAGACTCTATTGCATTGACCACATTTACAGTTCATTCAGTATTCAGTCAGCATGTTATAAATTGGTCATTGCATCAGTTAGCTCAGTATTCAGTATTTTCAGTATCTATATCATGTTCAGATTATTTCATTGCTTTATTGCTTTGTTCAGTTATATGTTCTTTCAGCTTTACTCCATCCTGCATTCTCAGTACCTTTCAAGTACTGACGCATACGTGCGCTACATCTTCTCGTGATGTAGGTTCAGGTTCTCAGCATCCAGATCACGCTTAGATCGATTCCCGATCTTCAGTTCAGCAACATCAGTGGTGAGTCCTCATTCTTCGAGGACTAGTGACATGTTTATCTTTATCGATTTTAGTCTTTAGTTTCAGTTTTGCTAGATCTAGTTGGGGCATGTCCCAACATTTCTAGTCAGTTTAGAGGCTTATTTCAAACATAGTTAGATTCAGCTTAGTATCTTGAGTTTGATATTTCTTTTGTATTAAACTCTCAGATTTCATATATTCAGTTACAGTATATGGGTATTCCCCATCTTTTCAGATTTATGATTTAGCTTCCGCATCAGTTTATTTTCTTTAGTATGCTCATGATCATGCCAGCAGGGTTAGCTTGGGATCACTTGTGGTCCTAGGTCCCGTGTCCGCGTCTCGGGGGTAGCTCGGGGCGTGACACATTCCAACGAAGAAATGTTCTGAAACTGAGGACAAAGCTTCTTCAACATAGGTAAAGAAGGATGTCCTAATTGACAATGTGCTTCAAATGGAGTTATGACATTGGAATAGGCAACAAATTGAGGTTCGCATTCATCAAGGATGTAGAGATCATCATTTATATGTCCTTTACCAATAACTTGATTTGTTGTAAGATCACAATGATCCGGGAAGAATGAGATATAACAATTGAGGTCTTTAGTAAGTTTACTGACAGCTATCAAATTAAAGGTCAATTTCGGTAAACTCAATACAGATGCCAAAGTAATGAAAGAGGTTAGTTTAACAGTCCCAGATCCAACAATGTTACAAGTTGAACCATCAGCTACCTTAACAGGAGAAAGTGTTTTGTGTGATTGAAAGCTAGAAAGTACATTAGAATTACCGGTCATATGATCAATGGCACCGGAATCAATCACCAACTTATTTGCAGAGGAGACAAGACATGTTTTACTGGCATCATCAAGGGTAGTAACTGAAATAGATTCCTTCAATGAACCAAATTTTTTTTACAAGAAGTAACAACAACATTAACTGTTTTCTGATCGCAGTTATTTGTAGCCTTTCCTCTATTGTGAAGAACCATTTTTCAACTAAGTTTGTGTGGCAAAATAACATTATCATAAAATAAAGATCAACTTTCACATATAGCAAATATAAAATCATATTTGTATGCTATAGTTATAGTTTGTATAATTGCGCTCTTTAGCAAACTTTATGTTTGCTATAGCTATTAATATGTATATTTTGGTATACATATACATAAAAAATCTTTATTTGGGTCTATTTGTATATTTCGGTATACAAATGGGTCCTGCATTTGTATATTTTGGTTTATTTGTATATTTCGGTATACAAATGGGTCTTGCATTTGTATATTTCGGTATACAAATGGGTCCTGCATTTGTATATTTCGGTATACAAATAGGTCCTGCATTTGTATATTTCGGTATATTTGTATATTTCGATATACAAATGGGATGGCAAAAAAAATGAGATGTTTGTTGCGAATTACAAATAAAAATAAACTATAGCTATATCATTTAATTTGAATTAATAGTTTACTATTTCATACAATTTTCTCTAAAATAAATGAAGTTGGACCACCAGCAACTTAATAATCAACAGATTTATTGCAAACCACAGAATAATCACTTTACTTAAATATGAAATTTGGAAAACACACCAATTCTCTCACGTGATAAATTCAGTGTGCAAGTAAAATGAGGAGTCGACAGTGGACAAAAAATATGACAAAGATCAATATCCAGCCCCGAACGAATAATCAGATACCAACACAGAAGCTTCCAGCAGTGATACAAAGCCACCAAAATGCGAAGTTTTGGCGATGCACACTACTTCACACACCACCTCAACCGATCACTAGAAAAGTTGTTACCAGTGTGTGCCTCCGACCACCGGCATCTAGATTTCTGTTTATCTGGGGAAGGCAATCCTACCTAGGTTGAAGGGGGTAAATCTCAACTCCCAAATACACCAAATTACCCGATGAATATTTTGCCTAACCTAGATCTGCCATAAGTCTGATACCATGTAAAAAATAAAGAATAACTTGTTTCTTATTTCATTATGTAAGATGCTTATATACAGATACAATGAGCTCTAATTAAGGAAACTAAATAAGGTAAGATCAAAATATATTCTATAATATCCCTACATATTTGCTGTTATGTACACTATACCCAAAGGTGTCTATATTCATTATGTAACAATTTGGTTTAAGTTCAAATGCTTACGGGAACATGTAAATTTAGCATAGGAGAGAAGGCCAGGCAGAATTTTCATTGTTAATGAATTAATGGATTCTCAAAAGACCTGAATCCCATCAACTTTTGTAACAAATTAGTATAAACCTAGTTATTATTACCTGCTGATTCTTTTGCTTTAGTTATTATATTATTTGTTGTTGCTACTGTTTCGTTTTCACATTATTTTGAGCATGATTTCTTTGCTACTGTATTTCCTTCCCATTCGTGATTTTGATATGTTTTACTTGAGCCGAATGCCTATCGAAAATCACCTCTCTTTTCATACAAGGTAGGGGTAAGGCTGTGTACTCACAATCCTCTTCAAACTCTGCTTGTGAGATTACACTCACTATGTTGTTGTTTATGACTCAGTGAGAGCAAACCATCAATACTATATGAGTCAGTTGAATTGGGTTATTCACAATAATTTTGATATGTCGTTTAAGATTTTGACATATCCATTAAGAAAAATCATTTAATATATTATTGAACCAATAGTAGAATTTAGACAAATATGGCATTCCCTTCTTGGTTCTAAAACACTTTGGTAGAATTTAGAAAAAAGATTTATTTTCACCAAATTTCATTCCATGTTTGCATAGTTGCAGACAAGGGCACAAGAAAATTTATGGTTTTGTAGCCTCTCAACCGCATTAATAGAACCATCAGAAGAGGATATAGTAAAACATATGAAGAAGCCAAATGGATTCTATAACATTTACGATATACACATAAAAATAATTTGATGTAATTTTCCGAAAAAGGGGATAAGATGAAACTCCACCCTTGCACTCCCCTAGCTCTGCGTGTTTGTGTGTGTGTGTGAGAGAGAGAGAGAGACAACTTTTAGAACAAGCAAGAATGTGGGGTTCATGTGTATACATCTTGAAACAGAATGTATTTATTTTTTTGGATCACAATGCCAACCTTTATGGCCTTACATTGACAGATATTGTGGTAAACAAACAATAGGAGGCAGTTTCCTCAGCATGTCTTTGTACATTCAAAAATTTGCCCATGACCATTTGGATGGTGGTGGCATATGGGTAACCTAATAGTCTTGCTGTTCATCTGGACTGTATATCAAAATGTAAATTGGTAAAACGAGGCAAACATGGGAGATCAGAAAGTTCCCACATCCAGGCTTCCCTAGAAGAACAAGTGCCAACAACTTGTTATACTGTCTCTGTGAGTTCAGTCTCTGTGAGTTCAGTCTCTGTGGGTTCAGTCTCTGTGAGTTCAGTCTCTGTGGGTTCAGTCTCTGTGAGTTCAGTCTCTGTGGGTTCAGTCTCTGTGGGTTCGGTCTCTGTGGGTTCAGTCTCTGTGGGCTCAGTCTCTGTGGGGTTGGTCTCTGTGAGTTCGGACTCTGTAGCAACCTCTTGCTCAATATTGAAATCTGATGGTCGATGAGTGTCTACAAATCCTCGAACTGACATTCCAGGCACAGTTAATTCGTCATTCAGCATCTCGTGATCTATAAAGATGACCACGACTGTTATATCATCATGAAAGGCCCTCCTGACACCTTTGTCATAATTCATAAGGTCACCGTACTTCAACTTTCTTGCACGTGCCGCCACATTCAGGGCTGATAGAACAAGTCTTCTAGCTATGCCCTGATATTGGATAAACAAAATAAGTTTAACCATACAAACATGACATTTTGATCAAATAAATGTCAGTGTCAGAATAACAGATACCTGTCTAGGGTAGGTATGCACAATTTGTACAGCCTCTTCATTGCTTAAGAGATCCCACAGCCCATCAGAAGCAAATATAACAAATCTATCGCATGGTTGTAAGTTTCTTGAACAGACAGATGGATCAGCTCTTAGTACTGGCCGTCTAAGAGGAATTGCACTAAGAGCAAATTCTGGCTTCTTCAGAAATGCATCTCCAATTGCTCTAGTTACCTAAAAGATGTAGAAACAAACATAAAAGGAAACACATATATTAAAAGGCAAATTATAAGGCCGAGGCAGATATAGTTCTATTCAGTATATTTGGATGTACTTAACAGATATAATGGCAGATTACTTCCCAAGGTGACAAAATGTAACAAGTTGACAAATCAATTTTTGTTTAGGTCAGTTTCAGAGGTGTCCAAAAGCATAATTGAGGTTAAAAATGTCTTGTTCTTGGATGAAGCCACCGAATGTGACAAGAAACTAGAATTAAGAGCCTTATGAATACCACACAAATTTAGTTTAAGCTCACTAATCTTTTGATAACATTAAGGACTATGATGGAAACTAGATTGCTTCTGATTAAAAAGAATGAGCATCTGTCATGAGATATCAGGAAATAAAATTCAAAATGATACATAACATAACAAGTTTGTGTTCAATATTAGTTTTAAAAGCAAACCTGTATAATGCTTTTAACACGCCATGTTCTTCTGACACAAGACACAATGTTTGAATCGTCTGGGTGCAGAGCTCTCAGTTCATCCCTGACCTCCTTGATCCTGGCATTATGATCATTAGTCAATTGCTCAGCAAAAATCCTATTGAATCTTCCTGTATGACCTAATACTGCTCTACAGTCCCCCAGGTTAGCAACATATAATGTCCTTTTCCAGATAACACCAACCAGACAGCAGCACCCCGTTGACGCAATTCCTGGATCAACATGAAATTCCCTTTCCACAATAGAAAGGAAGCCGTCTTCAGTTGCAGCGAAGGCATTATTAAGGACTTCTTCATCTATTGTTCCCTTTTCTCGAGCAAGCGCTGTAAAAAATGTGTGTTTAGCTGCTTAGCCTGAAAATTCTCAAGAGTACCAAAAAGATGATCCTGTTCATCTATGTTGCTGTTTGTCACTCTGAAGAAGAAACATAAACAAGTACTACAGCAACAAATAAAGGAGAAACAAAGCCTAAGCTGCGAGAAAACTGCAAAACCCTTAGTGACAATTGAAACCTTCTACTATACAATTACTTATAGACAGGCTAAGAGAAAAAATCACTAACACTGCTACAACATGCACTAGAGCATAAACAGAATGGAAAAAATGCTGTAACTCCGTCACACGTCACATAATCAAGAAGATCACTATGAATATCATTTCTACCAAAACTTGAAATCATAAATTGTTGTTATGAGGCAATAAAATTTATAGTACAACAACATACCCAGTGTAATCCCACAAGGGGGTCTGGGGAGAGTAGACCATCGGCTAAAAAACAAAAGCATAACAAAGCAGTCGGGTAAGGGAATACCATAAATGAAGAAGCCACGACAAGATACTAAAAATAGCATGACAAAATATGCTGCAATAAACGAACAGTATCTACGACCAGATAATAATACAATCGAAGTACAAGAAATAACAAATAGTAATAGAAATCAAAGAACTAGAAACTTCAAGAGTAATACTACGAGTGTAAAATTTACAATGCAAAGGAAGAAACACCATAATTCCATTGTCAAAAGACAGCAACAACCATTTTATTCTAACAATAAATAAATAGAAAAGCAAGGAAATACAGAAACTTGATCTCACTTATTAAATGCCGGCTAAGGTTATCACAGGCAAATCTTGAAGCATCAAGGCCACCATGGCCATCATAAACCCCAACAAAGGTACCTTCACGACCTGGTTCAACGTGGCCATAATCTTCACATACTTGATTAGCCTGTACCACCGCAAAAGAGAACTCCCCACATGAATGTTTCTCAAGGTCTCTATACCATAGCAGTGGGTAATCTTCACCTCCCAGAACACCGCTGCTCAAACCGACATATCTACCTAAAGGTTGGCAACAAGCTGATACAGTCCTATCCAGCCAAGAAACCATCTTTCACTTCCTTCTTAAACTCAAAAAGCTATAAAATGTACAACTAATAGCTGATCGAAAATGTCGAAATGTACCCCAAAACTCCAATATTTCAACACTAGCAGAAAAACCCAAATTCAATTTCCCTGAATTCCCAACAAACAACACTAAAACTTCAATCTCGATCAAAAAAACCCAAGAAAGAATCCAACTGACACACACAAACAGAGTAGAAGTTCGTGAATATCAATCAACACTACACCCAGAAACCAGAAATGCCCAGAAACAGAAAATTCAATAACCCCACCTCTGTTTTCACATCAACACCATAATGGGTTGAAAGAAAACACAACAGAGATACCAAAACGAAGTAGAAGAACTGCAGCTGACTAAGAAATGATCAATGTAGCTTGAAAATGAAGTAGGATAATAGATCTTTCTCTTTGAACTGAATGCGGTTATTGAGAGAGAATTGCAACAGAAAATAAGCGATTCTTGAAGATATATATATAGGAAGGTTTTGGGGGGTTTTAGAGGGGACCGTGGCAGTTACTGTTTACAGAGAAGAGAAAGGCTCCACTAGTGGTTGTTTGTAGGCCCTCTCCCTATACTTCATATATTCTAAAATTAAGGTGCGTGCAAACTAGCTTAATACATCATAATTAACAAGTTAGGGGAAAACTTAATTCAGATATATGCAAATTAATTTTAGTTTTGTGGTGATTAAGATGGTGAAAAGTAGTAGATAACTCGTGAAATTAGTCGAGGTGCTCACAATTGATAAGACACCATTGTTATATAAAAAAGAGTTGATGTAGAGTTAGTTTTCTTTCAAATTTGTATTTGTTAAAACATATATACTAAATAATTACAAATCTATCTATATATATAAAGCTGAATGATAAAAGTCTGATATGACACCCTTCTTTGGACTGGATTGCCATTTATCTTTTGTGTCAATTTTTTACCTTTTTTATCTTAATTTGATTTTTACAAAAAATCAGAATAAAGTACACTTAAATATTTTCTCTTTCCTCATTATTACTACACTATTTATATCTTCCTAAAATTCCTCTTTTGCCTTTTTGTTTTCCGTTTCTTTACAAAAATTCATAAAAAAGTACACTTGAATATTTTCTCTTTCCTCATTATTACTACACTATTTATATCTTCCTAAAATTCCTTTTTTGATTTTTTGTTTTCCGTTTTTTTTTTCCAAAATAAATTATGCTTTTACAACTTTTAGAAAAAAGACGCACTTACATTTTCTCTTCCCTCACTAATTCTATACTATCTCCATGACTCAAATCTCCATAAACTGAAAAGTCCCTCATTTAATTAAAAAAAAATTACTTTACCTTCACCCATCCCATTCAAGCTTTTTGTTCCTCTTAATTAATTAACCCATAAATGGGTGCTTTAAGTTTCATTTTTTAAAATTTTGATTATGTATTATTCTTAACCATTAAAGACCTTTATTATTCATTAAAACAATAATTACATGCTTATAGTAAAAATATATAAATAGCACTAAAATGTACTCTTCAACTATTTTCCATCTTTCAGATAATAAGTAACAAATTTTATGTTACTTTCTCTATAAATCGTATTTATCATTTCTTTTGATGTCATGTGATTTGTTCTTTTGAATACTTTTTTTGTTTTTAATTATGAAATTATATTATTAGTTTTGATGTATGATTGTGATATTTGTAAATTATAAATAGGTGAAATCATGAAGTTATATGTGGATGTAATTTTACATATTTGGTAAGTTGATATCTTCTTCCTTTTTTCATCTTCAATATGTATGAATTTTAATACATCAAAATCATGTTTTCTTTCCCAGTTATTAGTGTTTTTGGTGTCATTTATTTTCTCTCTTGTGAAAATAATTTATCTTCTTACATTATCTTGTATTTTTTAAGAGATAGTATGATTTGTTCTTTTGAATGCTTTTTTTTTTATTGTTTTTAATTATGAAATCATATTATTACTTTTGATATATGATTGTGATATTTTGCAAATTATAAATAGGTGAAATAATGAAGTTATATATGGATGTAATTTTACATATTTGGTAAGTTGATACTTCTTCCTTTTTTCATCTTCAATATGTATGCATTTTCATAAATCAAAATCAAGTTTTCTTTCCCAGTTATTAGTGTTTTTGTGTCATTTATTTTCTCTCTTTTAAAAATAATTTATCTTACTTCATCTTGTATTTTTTTTAGAGATAGTATTTTTGTTGCTTAGTGTTAGCTTCAAATTTGAACAATATGAAGAAAGAGAAATAAAGAATTAAGTAAAAAAAAAATTGTGTTTCTCTCTTCTTTTTTTAATTTACCCTTTTTGTTTTTCTTGTGATAGTATTCTTGTAAGTGTATATTTACGTGTTCCTACAAATATGATTACGAAAGGGTAGATCTATTTGTATAACTATCAAAAAGAGAATATTGCATATATGACTCTTAAAATCTATATAGGAGTATAAGTTTAAGGAAGTTTAATTGTATATTGAAAAATTAAAGTAATTAGATAGGATTTAAATATGAGGAATGAAAATATCATTCACTGAATAATTATTTTCGTAGTTCGAAAATTATTAATGTTATGTTACAAATTCATAAAATCTAAAAAGAATTGTTCATTTCATAAAATAAAATTAGGGATACAAACTTGACATGAGAGAAAATTCTTTTTTTTTTACAAGCTCTATTCAAAATGCAACAAAATTAGTTTCAAGCTTCAATTTAATTGAGAAACCTTTTTTGGACAACTGAAAAATTTATCATCTACTAATTTATCATCAATAATATGTAAATTATTTGATAAAATTCATTTTAAAATAACGACTTCTTTTATTATTACTGACATATTGTTCAAATTTGAAGCTAACACTTAGCAACAAAAACATGTTCATACTATCTCTAAAAAAAAAATACAAGATAAAGTAAAAAGATAAATTATATTTAAAAGAGAGAAATAAATTACACCAAAAACACTAATAAGATGTACATTTGAAGCTAACAATTTAATTGAGAATCCTTTTTTAGATAATTGAGAAATTTATCATCTACTAATTTATCACTAATAATATGTAAATTATTTGATAAAATTTATTCTAAAATAACATCTTCTTTTATTATTATAATTGACATAATTTTGGAGAGGCTGAAATAAATAGAATGTTAGAATTTAGCCCAAAATGTTTAGACCTTTCATTGAGATTTTTAGCAACATTTCCAATTGTTATAAAGGATAAAGGGGAGCATGAGTAAAAAAAATTCACTAGCTTTTTTTAAAGTAAAAGTTTTATTTGATTTCTTTTCTTGACGATTCTTAAGCGACTTACTTAATTAGATAAAAACTTATCATTACTACATCGATGAGTTGTTGGTATGAATATCCAAATACACTTTTACAAATTAAAGTATAAAACAATTTTATATTAACTAAAAATTTTAAGACCTATTGTTATTTCAATTAGTTGCAAGTAGTTCATTATTCAAGTTTATCACAAATTTTACATAAATTTTTTTGAAATTGCTCTTTTTTCTTCTACTAAACTATATATATATATATATATATATATATATATATAAAGAAAAAAACCAACTACAAATGAGTTATTCAGAACTTTTGTTTTCAACTTCCTTCTTATTGTGTTGTTGTAGTTACTTACTTTTAAAATGTAATTATAGGTTGGATTTAATTTTCAAATTAAGTTTTGCAATAACATATGAGTTGAAATTATAAACTTATACATGAATAATTTTTTGAAACAAAAAAGTAATCAAAATTATAATTTTAGATTGTTTATAATATTAAGCTATTAGATAAAAATTAGATCATAAGTTTATAGATTTTTTTTTACCGCACGAATAAGTTCCCTAGTATTTAATTAATAAGGAAATGAGGTGTTTGTTCGTTATATCTTGTCAACTTTAAGTAAATCTTAAGAAACTCGTGGATTAGAGCATCATTTAAATATAATTTGTTATAACTATAAAGATAGAATTAATTAAATAAAACTTGTAGTAAAGTTTTGCATTAAATAGAAGCATATCATAATCATAAGAAGTGTAGCTTTGTTAAATGAATATGTGTATTGACTTTTATTTAAGGCATAATACATATATTGGATCTTAAACTTGGCTTTAAATTTTAATTTTGATCTCCAACTTTCATAGTGCACAACACATGCACTTTAACTATCCAACATTTTAATAAATAAACACGCGAATCCTACTTGGCAAAACGCGTGATGTGCACGTATTCTGCGCGAGTTAGGAGTAATTTTTGAGTCCCACAACAGTAAAAAAATGCTGAAATGACAACTCTACCCCTCGGATTCCGGCCAATCTCCAGCAACCCAAAACCTCCGTTCATTTTCTTCTTTTTCAGGCAAAACGCCACCAAATACCCAGCCGTTCTCCTTCTTCCTCACACCGGAGCACAACCCATGAAGCGAATGAGCTTTGAGCTCGCTAAACCCACCAAATACCCGACCCCAAACCCATCAGATCCGCCATCTCCGGCGAGAATTCAAATGACCCCCCAAACCCCATGAAAACAAACCCAACAACCACAAACACCTAAAGCAAGAAGCCAGCTATCAACAAACCTCTAAGCTCCGTCAAACAATGAGCTCCAAGCTCTAAAAACCATTAGGAGGAATTAATTTTGATTCTTGTATATAAATTAAAATTAATTTTGATTTTTTTTAGTTCTAAAATGACGTGTAAAATATTTAATTAGTTGGCAGCCATTGAGTGGCTCACTAATACACGTTGGAGCGTTTGCATTTCATGCTCTTTGGCTGCAAAAATCGTGTGTTTATTTATTTAAAAGTTGGATAGTTAAAGTGTATGTTTGTGCACTTTGAAAGTTGGAGATCAGAGTTAAAATTTGAAGCCAAGTTTAGGGTCCAATATATGTATTATGCCTTTATTTAATCATGTTTTTATTACAAAGAAGTCAACAAGTTGCATGTGGTCAACGTGTAGGGTTCTTTTTTATTTCCTTGTTCAATTTTAGAAGAAAAATAATAATACTATACATAAAATATTTTACGTTCACATAAAACAAAAATAACCGCACTCTAGAAAAAAGAGTAATAAAACAAATAAATGACATTTTATTTGAAGAATATTATTTTGAGTGAAATCACGTCTAATTTCTAAACAAAAGTATAATATCTTAGAGATTAGTTAATTGTGTGCACACCTTAATTAATTTCATTGAGTATCTGCTATTTTTCACCTCTTGAAAAAAAAAAGATTTTTTATATACGTACATATTGTTTGA